ACTTCGAGTTCAGATGTACCACTGAAGCTGAATACTACCGGCTGGAGACTGTACCTGCAGTTTGGAGAGTTCTTGCAGGGAAGGCTGCTCGATCTGTAACTTGTCACCACGCCTTTTCAATTCAATGATCCCTGCATCCAATTCCTTTAATCCATCTTCAGCCTGTTGTATTGCCTATGGAAGATTTATGACATTTCATTAAAACTCCCGGGAACGATTTTCCCACAGAAAATGTGATCACTGCATCTCTTTATGTGTTCCTCCTCCCTTCACATAAAACATTTTCAATACATACAAAAGGAGTCACTTCAATAAAACATAAAAAAAATGCTAAGATATTAGATAGAAAAAGAGAAGGCGGCCCTTTATCATACTACAAATTAGTTACCTTAAAGGTAAGGAGGTAGGAGGGACTTAGGGTAGAGGATTGGGAGAAGGATGGCTTCCTTAAACAAAAAAGAGAATCTGTGATTAGCACCCTTACCAAAGAAGCATGACTGAAGACATAGTTAGAAAAAGGTATTTGCCTGAGATTTTCTAGGGAACCATGTTCTGGTGTCTTGAAATGTAGTTGTGAGCATCTTTGAAGAAGATTCAATGAGGCAACAAGCAAATATGTTACAGCATGGTCAGGAATGCCTGCTCATAGCTGTGAAGTGGAAAGTCAGCCTTATTGCGAAGCCTTGCCTTCTCAATATGAGGTCTGTGGAAGCAGAATCTCATCCTGGCCTTCAAGGAGCCAATGGTTAGGAAACCAGAGTAAACAGAAGAAAACAAAGCAAGGCTGAGTACAATTAAGTACTAAACCTGATAATGCAACTCATCGCCCTTACTGGGACCGTGAATCCTGGAGCAGTCTAAGTAGGCTTTTGGAAGAAGGGCAACATCAGTTGCTCTGGAAAGATGACAAGAACATAGATTCCAGCCAGCAGATGAAACATATGTGTCCAATTTTCTCATTTTTTGAAACCCCCTACAAGCAGAGCAAATATTGTTTGCTTGTTTTTTTGTACTTTTTTTTCTCCATAAATCTACAAGGACATGAAAACAAGAAAGAATACAATGCCAACAAAATTGTCGAACTTGGAGATCAGAAGGATACATGATATTTGACTTAGGCAATCTGCGGAAGCTGAATCCTAAGCTAGCAGAGGATCTACACCACCAAATTTAGAGCAACAGAACTCTCTGGAACTCTGGGTGAAGTGGAATGGGGTGTGAATTTAGGAAGGCTAGAGAAAAGCTGCCCAAAGGGTAGTTAAGTCCCCAGATCCCCGTCCTCATTCCATGCTGTTCCTTTCCTTCCCTGCTTAAAGATGGAGAGTTTGTTTTCTGGAGAAGGTAAAACAGACTGAGTGGCTCCCGACACAGCTGTGGCCCTGAGTGCTTACCTGAAAACAGGGAGGAAGTAAGTGGATGCCCATTGAATGCTGACTGTGGGGCCCCTGAGTCTTCTCTCCCTGAAGAAGTGCCACAGCTAGGCCTCTACTCTCCAGACAGGAGGAGGAAAAATATCTGAAAAGACTAACAGGCCTAAAAATTTGACACAAGGATTCTCTAACAAGTGGTCCACGCAGGCCACCCTGCAGTAAACCCTGCAATTGTCAAGCTCCATTCACACACGAAGTTCCCTTTCAGTATTCCTAAACATGAACAGACAACAAAGGACTTCAGTACACCTGTCAGTACCATGAAACAGACGAACACAAACGAATAAACAA